ACTAAATCCCAAATACAACAACACAAGTATCCTGTTATTTTTGAATTGAAAATCCAGATTTCTCGCAGAAAAACGTTTACAGATAGGAAAAAAAACACGCACCATAGTGAACGAGTAGATTTCCCGTAACGCTCAGAATCTAAAATAATAAAATACAATTGAATTCGAATAATACCAAAAACCTTTTTACGGTTGTTGGGTATCAAGTTATTATTAATCAATTCGGAAGTTTTCGCCCGTAATTAAATTTATAATACAACAATAACGCGCAAATATAATATTTTATATTCGTTGTAAGATAACAAAACAAGTCAAGTCGATTATGCCAAAGCCCTTTAAAGTTCAAGCACGTGTATCGCTGTCGTAAATTTCACCGGGTTCCGCGTATAGTTGGTCCCGATTCTCAAGAAAACTATTGAGAAATATTGTCACCTTTGTTCGGTAATTGCCCGTTTATAAAGTTGATAAACGAAACTTTCGGATCGTTACATTTGTAATACACACAAAAATTTAAAAATACGGCTAAAATTGACGTCACTGTTTTAAGGATGAAAGTCGTACACAACGATAAACTATTAGTATCGAAAAACGATTAATTAGGAAATCTACGGAAGGAAAATCGAAAAATCACTTAGAATTGATATATAAAAAAAAAAAAAAAAAAAAAAAAAAAAAAAAAAAAACCCCGCTTGATACAAAAGAATTGGTATAAAGTATATTGATTGGAACAAAATTTCTGGTGAAAACAGACGGGGGGAAAAAAAAAAAAAAAAAAAAAACTATAGTAAAACCAACACATTGCTCGCTTCGTTCAAAAACAATGTTTATACACGGAAAACATCGCGGGTATCTCGCGGTCGTTTCGAGGTTAGATTTTCTTCGGGTTTTTTTTTTTTTTTTATATTCCGTCGCGGTCATTATCGGGTTTACCAAATCGAACCCTTATCTTTATATTTTCATCCCGCCGTCCCGTATACGTCCTGACGCACTTGTTTTGTTCGACAAATACATACAGTTTCCATTAAACGTGTATTACGCGCGCGTCATCTGATACGCGCACGACGTCACTGCAACGTATAACGTAGGGTTACCTACCCAGTGTAGTTATACCTGCGTATAGAAAATCGCATTAGCCCGCATAATGTACGCGCGGTATGGGTACCTTTACACACAATAGTTTCGGGATATTATTATTATTATTATTATTACTATCGTAAAACTTATACCCATAAATAATAATAAGAAGAATATTAAAACCCGCTGCAGTATCAATATTGCATATTATATATTATACAACCACTCGCTGAACCTAATATATTACAATGTCTATAATCTATATATCATACTTACGACCGCGACGCGTATCGGTTTATCTATATTTCATGAGTACACAATAAATATTTTAAAATCGCTAGATATCTCAATACACCTGAATATTTCTACGTATATACTCGTATCCGCTATACATTTATTATGCTATGTTTAAAGCCTTTTCTCACATTCTCGTCGTGTAGCCTCTCTCTCCCCGGTCAGTGGCGTAAAGACGAGAGGGCGGGGGTTTTCGTAATCAAATACTCCCATCTTCCCCCCTCCCTTGGCCGTATTTATGCCAAAAGTTATAATTGTTACTATGCGCAGTTATGTGCGTCAGGTTTCTGCAAGATGTGTTGTGCTAGTGTATTACACGTAGATAATAAATTATTAAGTATATGTTATGTGTGTTGCATGCCATATTCGCACAATAGAGTTACAAAGTTACATCGAAAGACAAAATAAAATCACCCCTTAAAAAAATATCGTAAGAGGTAACAAATGGAATTACGTCAGATCGACAACCGGGGTAAAATTCTGCGTGTTAACCAGCATGAGGACTGAGGAATTCTAAACAAGACTTTTTGGATACTTAGATTTTTACAACACTCAAAGAATAACCTACGGCGATATCGAATTTGGTTTTTCAAATGAGAACCGATATTTTTTAATCAAAATTTGAACGGAATGTTTTTGAGTTGCTCTGCTTTAAATACAAAAGATAATAACTGCACGATTCAAAATAAGAAATGATCCATACTCATATGACAGTTAATATCCAATCCTCAAAAAAATGCTATTATATTTTGTATTTACAACAAAATAAATCAAAAACTTTTCGTTCAATAAAAAATCATCAGATTGATAATTTACATCGAACCGTGTAGGTTCTTATTTGAAAAACCAAAGCTGTTATTGTCACACGATATTCCTTAAATGTGCATTATTTTAGCTGCCAGAAATTCTCGTAAAACTCAACGTCTCTCGAATATAAAAAATAGTAATAAATAGCTATTGGCTGTAATAATATACAGATTATTAATTTCTTAACGTCTTCAATTAACATATCCCCAAATATGGTATCAAAAAAGACATTAAAATCATAGGACTAAAATTGGTCCTTTGTGTTTTGTTCAAAAAAATCAATTAAAAACAATCTATGGGAGTCAGTACACTATTTTTATTTATTTCATGCAGTATTTTTAATATTAAACATCAAAACGCCGTGCGCCTCCGCAATATATTATCCAAATAGCTTTAAACGTTAAGGATATTTTTCGTTTTTATTATACGGCACAAGATAGGTAGTTGTTCCGAAGAAAATTTTGAAATTGGTAAAATAAGGACTATCCTAATGTACACGAACACTCACCGATTGTTCTATTTTTTTTATCCGGTCAGAAATTAATTTTTCAGCGTTACTATTTTTTTTTTTTTAAATAGTTATCTAAACGTGATGAATCATCAAATTCTTAAAATTAAATTCATTTTGGACGGTATTCAATAACTATATATTAGGTAATGAATAAATCGTATTTTTGTACGTAATATCATCTATACATATAAAATCCAAAGACCACTGACTGACTGATCGCTGTATCTAAAAAACTACGTAACGTACGGACTTGAAATTTGAAATATAAGTTCTTCTCATATTTTCACCGTGCAATAAGGAGGGGTTTTCAAAAATGTTGCGTTTTAGTGGAGTAATTAACGATTATAATTATTCACTGCCAATACGCATTGTGCGGCACGGCGGCCCGCGGGTTTCCAGCTACCTGCAACCTATCATTTTTGTTCGTCGTCGTCGTCGTATAGATAAGAATAATGATTCCGAGAATAAAATTGTTCCGAGAAGTTTATCGATAAAAATAATCTCATGCATCGCGCGTACACCAATACTCCTATTTTATTATAATGAACGATAAAACGCACACCGATAACATAAACCAATACGCATACAAATTCTATTTATAGAATTAATTTGGACTNGAAATCTTTGTTACGGTTTGGCTTCGACACTTCTTATCCAATTGTCATGCAGTTTTAATTAAGTTAGTTAATAATTAATTAGGATTTGGGTAAGTTGTTAATTTTAAAGTTTTTTTTGTTATTGGTTTTGTTTTTAGGCAGTTAGTTTTTTGTGTTAGTTGTTAATTTTGAAGGATTTTTTTTTTATTGGTCACATTATGCCCAAGAAAAGGAAATCAAACCTTGGCCGCTCCACAAATAGTGCCAAAAGAATGCGCTTATCTAGGAACAATCATTCGCAAATGCACGATCAAAATATGGTTGAAGATGAAAATAATATTACTGGTAATACATGGCGTTATCTAATTTGTCACGAATTTGTTTCCGGGCAACGCCGGGTAATTCAGCTAGTTATACTATAAGCTTATATCTGAACAAATTATAATTCATAAAATTAAGATTCTTTTTTTTTTAATGTTTGGAAACATTTAAAATATTGTGTCCAATGACTACAGGACCTTGAAGTGATACGATTTATTTTATTTTCAGTCTAATTTTCCCCGAAAATAGACAGACATCATATTGCATTGCATAGTGTCTGTAAGACTAAAATATGTGTATCTCATATCGTGCGTTACAACGATAATCGTTTTGGTCGTATCTCACTCTTTCCGACTTGTAATATAATAGCGTTGGCCGAGTGAGATACCACCGAAAGTTTTTGATGGGTGATGCTGAATAATACGCCCCGAATTGAGATACCACCTTTTTTATCACGATAGGTTAAAGATATATGTATACATATTTTTTCCTCATTACTTTTGGACATTTTTAGCGGCTATCTCTGGACCAAAATGAATTCAAACAATGGGAACTAAAGTTGAATAAAAGAGCTGTTTGAAGTGATAAAAGTTGGATTTAATTTCAATATAAATTTCAGCATTTTGTCGTGGGAGAAGAATGTTTAGACATTGAATACCGCTACAGAACCTCCCCCATCCCAAATATACTCTTAAAACATTCCGACCCTGTGACAACAGTTTATAATAAATTAAAACCTACGTTAACTATATGAATAAGTAACTATTGCAGTTAAAGCGAAATAAATAAACAGTTTTAAATTCATTAAACATTTTAATTTCTACAATAATTAAAAATTGAAAAAAAAAATAGAACGTAAAAATAGTGAACGTAAAAAACCTATTGAAATTTCACATAGATGAAAAATTTAAAAAAAATGTACATTCAATTATTATTATATTTTTTTTTGTTTTACAACAGTGTTTTTAAAACACAAATCATAGTTAATTTACGTTTAATTATTGTTCTTAATGAAAAAAAAAAAAATGAATTACGGTCATATTTAAAATAATAAATACGGTTTTTATTAGCACTAAATTAAATCTAGTTGAAAAAAAATTATTTATTTATTACATCAGCCATTTGTGCAGAGTTAAAAATTTAAAAATCTCTTACTGCAAATATTTTACTTACTCGTTTCTTTATTCCATCATGCATCATTTATTATTCGTTTCGATTTACTGCAACCGTTGGAAACAACAACAAAAAAAAAAATTCTTTTCGCTGCTCCGGGCTGAATAATATATCATTTTTTAAACTCTTACTAAAACCACAAAATATATAAGTACTGTCCCGGTAAAAATCTTTTTTGTGCGCAATTAACGAAAATCTACACTCCAATATTGAAAAAACAAAAACCAAAAATGACTCTTAATTATTAACTTTATAACTCGTTAAAATGCTCAGCTGTTGGGTATAGTAATTATACCTAGTTGTTTCGGTAGCGAATCCTTTAGAATCCTGCAATACGTCAACATACTAGTTTAATTGTCGTTCCAACAGCTAGTTGACTCAACAACTCGCAAGAGACTAAGGGAACCAATTTGACAGGGTTAAGGAATAATATAGTAAAATAGGTACTCACTGAACCTCGGAGCGGATGTTCACAACCGGTGTTTATTGAATGGAAATTGTATTAAGTTAAACTTACAAAGAAAATATATTGAACCGTTTTTAATAAATAAGAAGGGAAGAGCGCCTCAGCTTATTGGTGTTGCAGTGCCGACTGTTTTTCATGAAATGACTAGAACCACGGCGTCCATTGACCTCATCGAACCGCTCCGATCGGCGCGCGCATTCGGTTTCTCCCGATCGCAACGGCGGGAGGGCCCGTGGTCTTCCGAAGCTGCTGCGCATGCGCGTTGTTAAACAGGTTTCGTTAGCACGCGTCGGAGTGGGGATCGGCGACCGCCGCGCCAAAGTTCGTAGTGTGTGGTTTTCTCTTTTATATTTCCCCGTGCGCGGCAACAATAGTTATTATATTTATGATTTTTTTTTTTTTCACATAAATTTAAATCATGATTAAAACCAGTATTCAAATGTAGATTGGTAGTGCGGGAGGGGGTGAGGAATTTAAGACACCTACCAATGTAAACGTATTGCGATTTGCAATGGATTTCACTGCAATGCAACGGCGATGCAGAAAATTTAATTTTCTCAATTCGAATATGTCGAAATCATATTTAGAATTATTCTCTCGTGCCGCATTATTTTCCTACATAATACATTATTTCAAAATATGTTTTTAGTTTTGTGAATAACGTTAAATCGACATTTTCGATTAGGATTTTAAATCTCCATTACAATTCCATAATAGTTTATTGATATGCGGGTTTAAAACACCGTTTAAACAAAATTTTCAAACAATACGATGGGTGGCCACTGTTGTAGATGAGAATATTGCGTATGATATAGAGTGGAATTTAATGTATATCTGTACGCAACTATTAATATTTGTTGACGAAAAATGATTCTGAGAGGACTTCGATTATACAATATGTTTTGAAAACAATACATTTCATACATTTTCCCGATCTCCCGGTTTTTCCCCGTTTATTATGAAAACCCTCGGGAAAATCAAAAAATAACACTTACCTAAAGTACGAACAACCCAGTCAAATTTCCTTTCGGAAAACGCACAGTTGACACATCAGAGCAAGATTTCCGGTAGGAAATTTTTTCACAGAAAAAGAAACAAAAATATCAAACATTATTGTAAAACCGATACATTTCTCGCTCCTTTCGAAATAATGAAATCGCACGCCGTAAATTTGTTCGGTTTTTCATTTCTGAGTATTTTCTCCGGTTTTCCCAATTATTATTGGAAAACTACTTGGGAAAATCGAAAAATTACCTCTCTAATGCACCGACTAGATAACATTTTCTTTCGGAAAATGTGCCACCCTTGAAACGCACCGGAGAAAGATTTCTGGTAGAATGAAATTGTTCGCAGACCGAAAAAACAGTAAATAAAAAATGGCATAAGATAAAAATGCACAGCTCCTAATGCAATAACCCGAAAACTACCGCTGCACGAACTATTACCCTGTTGTTAGCTTCACGTCAAATAATAAGACAAGTCTGAATAATAAAACATGTACACGGATTCATAATTGATACATTACATAATACACGTGTGCATATGATGTTAAATATTGATACTTCAAAGATGGATTACGGTCGCGGTATTAGACTGTGTACGCAACGTCAAAGCGGTATTGCCGGTGAGCTTTTGAAATTAAAGATAGAGTCTTCTGCTATAAGACCGCGTACACTGGGTGATTTGTATTACCGCGGACTACCGATCGTCTGTTCGAAGATTTCGAGTAAATTTAGAATTTTAGATTCTGAGCGAAGCGAGAAACGTATTGGTTTCACACTGGCGTTTTTTTTTTTTTTCTACTTCCGTTACTCCGTAGTATTTTTCTAAAAGTAAATTTTATCTGCATAGTATCTCAGGGAGGAGGTTATTTTTGATTTACAAAATGTGTCAGTTTCAATTTTTTTTTTTTTTTTGATATTGAAAATAATTATAGAGACTTGGGACAGGAAGTTCGTATTCGTCTCTTCAAGACGTGATAACATTTTTAAATCAATAAAATCGTTAGACCATACAGAAACGGTTGAAAATGTGAGAAGAGGTTCATTATAAGTCGTACTTAGTGATCAACAAGAAAATTGTTTATTTATAAAAAATTTTAATATGTAATTTTGAAGAAAATCGTAAATGTTTCGAAACGTGTATACAACCGAATTTTGCTCAAAATCGTTTTTAGTTTTTTCAGTTTTTAGCAACGATTAATCGTTGCGTACGGATGTATGTTAAACGCCCATTTTTATCCTGCCTACACGGACGATTCGTTGTTTCTCTCTAATCTGAATTTAAAACTTTTTTTTTCCTAGGTCACGCGGACAAATTACGGGGTAATACTAACGGGGATTGTTGGCTTTGCGTTTCGCCATGGCATTTGCCCGATGTTTCGAGCCTATCCGCCCGGAAATACCGGTGTTATTAATAACATCAGTTCATTTATTCTACACAGAAAAGTCTGCGGTCATTTTTTTTTTTTTTTTGAGAGAATTTTAAATTAAGGTCGGATGCGGTCACCGGGGCCGGTAGAACACTTTTTCCCGCCTCGCGCCCCCGCCGGTACAGTGATTTGTATACGATATTATTATAATATCTTGGCGGGGGCACGGACCCGAAAAATCCAAGTATAGCGTCCGTGGATTTGACAGATTTCGACTTTTGCCCGTATAATCTTATTGTGTATTAATAAAAATATGTTTATACCTGCGCCTACAGAGAAAAGAAAAAAAAAAAGGTTCCGGCCGTAAACTCCGGACGCGCGAAGACGACCGCTCGTCACGTAGCCGTCGCCGCGCGCCGTATATACGCACCCGACCCTATCGATCTGCCCGCGGCCACGATGCGCGCACGTGTGCGTCCTGCACGTGCTCGTATGTACCAAATCAACGGGCCGGGACGCGGCGATAGGGTCGCGCCGGACCGTCGAACCGTACGGGTTGTCCGCGCCCGCGGTCTCGCGTCCCCACGACCGGTCGGCGGCAGTGACGGTGATTGATCGGCTGTCACGGCGGCTGCGGCGGCGGATGATTCGCGCGACGCGATCGCGGCGAATTAATCGCGGCCACGGCGAAACGGCCCCCGAAGAGGGAGCGGCGGTCCGCGCGCGCGCGACACCGTGAGCCGAGGGGAAATGATCGCACGCGCGCCGATCTCGTCATGCAGCGCGGCACCCGTAACGGCCGTAACCCGTTTGCGGCCGCGCGAAGGACGTCGTCCGCGGCCCGGGCGCGGGAACACGAGACGCGGCGCGCGCGTGGCGTCCGCCGGGCCGCCGTTATTGGCACGCCGACGGTGGCGGCTGCGACGCGCGCGCGCGATGTATTTTTAGACGGTCGTCGGTCCGCGCGCGGCCGGTTACCCAAAATTAGAGACGCGATTCGTCACCGCGCAGAGGTGAATGGACACACGGCGCCCGCGTGCGTTCGTGCGCGCGCCCGCGTATCACGTGACCGGCGGTTAATGTTACTGAACTCGGGATCGTACAGGTGTGACGTCCGCGCGCGTAAATAACGTACGCGCGCCCGTACACTTTGCGAATTTCCGAAACGCAATCGTCGACGATTTTCCGATTGATCCGGGGGTCCACTTCCACTCCCCTTGCCCCGTACCCGCCTCTCAAAAAAATAATTGTTAAGCCGCCCTGGAAGACCGCGGTCGTACGTCGTCACGCCGTTTACCGAGGAAAAACCCCAAACGTCTCGTATTGTCGTGTGGAATAATTATGCGATTTGTCGGTGGGCCTTTTTTTTTTTTTCGAGATTCTGGCCGCCGTGTAGCCGACGAACGTATTGGTTTTACAATTGTTATTATGTTGATTTTTGTTTTTGGTTTTTCCGTGTTTTTCTGAATGGAAACTTGACCGGGATGGTACTTCGAAAAAGTAGTTTTTAGATATTCACGATAAATGGGGAAAACCGGGTAGGAAAACGTAGGAAAAACGGCAAACGTATTTCGACGTTTCAAAACGCGTACAACCGAACTCCGCTCAGAATCACGTTTCGTTAGCAATGATCGATCGTCGTCGCGTGAAAAGGTATACGTTAAATTTTCCCATTACTACCTACTGCCTACCTTACCGACTTCTCGCCGACAACAGTGCGCCCCCTCCCCGTTTAGTGCGAAATATGTCCGTTTGTTTTTTTTTCCCCTCCCACCCCCTTTCTTTTGCTCGTAAATATTGCTGCGGTCCTCGAGTTAGAAAAATAATATTCGCGCCCGCGTCGGTCCCCGCAACAGAAACAGGACGGGGGCGTATTTTAGGTTTTCATCGTCGCCCCCACCCTCTCATTATTTAAATATTTATCGTCGCGAGCCCGAAATATTATACCGTACGAGAGAACCTAAACAAATACGCAAGCGTCGAACCGTATACGGAGACTGAAATAATAACCCGGTAAAGTACCTACCTACCCGGTGTACGTCCGCGGGACGACCGTGCGATGAGTTTTCGTAAAACTGCAGACGAGTACGGTAGTAATGAAAAAAAAAAATAATAAATAAATAACGATTGTATTTACGTATTCGGTATATCGCAAAAAATAATGTTTTGTTTGTTTTCGACAGGATATTGTCAGGTACGTATATAATACTGCCGCGGCCGTCACGCGATATATTATAACCGAATCGTGGGCGTGCTCAAAATAAACCTTCCCCTCACCCCCTTTTCATTCCTTATCGCGCCGACGATTCGAAATTGCCGAAACGCTAACCGAACGCGGGGGTCAGACCCTTTTCCGTCGAATCTCTTGAATTCCCGTCCCCTCGAACGAAACGATATTTACTTTTGCGAGTATTATCATCGCCTAGCCCAAACCGCCGGACGGATCGGGCTGATTTTTTTTTTTTGCCATCGGAGTAAGCTGCCGCTAAGAAAGAATTTTCAAAAGTTCAATCCCGTAAGGGGTTAAACTACACGTGTTTAGGTATTTTCGGTACGAATATCGTTTATTTATTTATTTCCGTTTGTTCGTGGGTTGCCTTGGCGCGCGACACGGCTGGCAATCCGGTTGCCACGGACAAGAAAACTATTATTATTATTGTACACACTA